AAATTAAATAAAACAAATAAAAACATAAAATGAATCAAATAGGGGAAAAAAGTGAAAAATGACCAGAATAAAATAAATAACAAATCTAAATGTATTAATAAAACAAGACAAATGAAAAATAAATAAATGTTAATTAAATAAAAAAAAGTTAAGTTAATAAATAAACAGAATGCAAATAAATCAACTAAACAAAATAAAATACAAATTTAGATATTTAAAGCAAAATAAAAAAAATGAATATGATAGAAATAAAAAAAACAAGTAAAATAAAAAAATATAAATATATTCATAAAATAAAAGACAATAAATACATAAAATAATAAATAAAATGCAAGTAAAATACCTTAATAAAATAAAATATAAATATACAAATTAAATAAAACAAATAAAAACATAAAAATGAATAAAAATAGAATTAAAGTAAAAAGTGAGCATAATAAAATAAATAAATACATTAATAATAACATACAGTGAACAACAGAAAGTGTCTCACCTTCTGACGGCCACAGATTTGGAGGTGCAGTTGCTGGTGATGATGGGGATGAGACGGGGGAAGTGTGTGTGCTGCAGAACAAGAGAAACAAAGCGTGATGTCATCAAGTCTTAATCGACCTCACAGCTCTGACATCATCTACGTCACGCTAACACGTACTCTGAGGATGAGGCGGATGGCGGCCACGCCGGAGGTGGCCATGACTTTGGCACTGTTGGGGACCAGGTTGAGGAGGATGGGCATGGTGGCCTCCGCAGAGTGGTCGAACTTACTGCCGAGCACCGACGACAGGTGTCTGGAGACGGAAAGGCGAAGCGGACCGTTTTTAAAAAAGGTTTCAATAAAGTGTGACGTACGAATAACAATAAATACAACCATCGAGTCACGTCTCACCCCAGAGTGATGCAGGCCTCTCTCACCACCTGAGAGCGCAGGTCCTTGGCCGACAGCTTGAACGCCGCCTCCATCAGACGCAGCTGCTGAGGAAACCCGTCAAACTCTGCGGCGCCGGCCAGGAGCAGCGAACGCACCTTCTTCAGCTGCACGAGAGGAGAAGAGACAGTGATCAACAACACGACAGTTACACCGAACTGTCCTTGATTATTATCTTAAATAAAAATGATAAAATATTAACGACTAAATAAAAATGCTAAAAAACTGAAAATATAAATATATAAATTAAATAAAACCAATTAAAAAATAATAATACTAA